CACTCTCGCTCTCGCTGTCCTCAGCCTCCTCCGTTCTCCTCTCTGTCTCCTTCGCATCCTCTGTGTCTGCTCCACTTTTCTCCTTTTGAATCCAGTGCCCTTTCCTGACATCAGAGACTCACATTCGTCCAGGCCCTGCCCCTGTCTGTTCCCTCTGGGCGGTGCCGTTGCCAAGCACCACGGCGGGAGGCAACAGCGCCACCCAGAGGGAACAGCCAGCGTTTCAGCGTTACAGAGTCACAGACATTGGGCTACTATATATATGATACTGTGTAGAGATGTGGTCGCCTCATCTCAGAAAAGATATTTTGGCATCGGAAAAGGTTCAGAAAAGGGGTTTTGGAACAGGTCCCATATGAAGAGAGATTAAAAAGACTTGGACTTTTCAGCTTAGAAAAGAGGAGACTAAGGGGGGATAGGATAGAGGTCTATAAAATCATGCCTGGTGTGGAAAAAGTGAATAAGGAAAAGTTATTTACTTATTCCCACAAAATAAGAACTAGGGATCACCAAATGAAATTAATAGGCAGCAGGTTTAAAACAAAAAAAAAGAATGTTTTTCTTCACTCAGCGCACAGTCAATCTGTGGAACTCCTTGCCAGAGGATGTGGCGAAGACTAAGATTTTAATAGAGTTCTAAAAAGAGCTAGATAGATTCATGGAGGTTAGGTCCATCAATGGTTATTAGCCAGGATGGGTAGAAATGGTGTCCCTAGCCTCTGTTTCTCTGGAGGTGGGTGACAGGGGAGGGATCCCATGAGGATTCCCTGTTGTGATCCCTCCCTCTGGGGCATCTGGTATTAGTCACCGTTGGCAGACAGGACCCTGGGCTGGATGGACCGTTGGTCTGATCCTGTGTTGACCCAGTTCCCATCTCTAGCTCCTTGTTGCCCCCCTGTGGTCATTCTGTTGTATAACTGTCCCACCTACCAGACCCCTGTCCTTTCCATTTTACGAGAAACGGTTAAACTCCATGCATCTCTCGTGAGCCCCAAACTCCGGCTTTGCCTTAAGTTAGGATAAGAGGAAGCCGCATACCAAATTTGGTGGTCCTAGTTCTTGCCGTCTAGGCGGAGTTCTTGAACAAATGGACTCACAGACAGAGAGATATTTCTAAAACATATAGTAAGAAGATGATGATCACACTCGTCTGCTTCCTAGTGCTGTAGAAGATTAGTTACCTCAGGCCTGTAAAGCACATTAAAGGTGGAAAGCTCTGGGTAACAGCCACGTATGGTGACCATACAAACTATGTACAGCAGACGTGGGGATGTCATTGATAGCCTGTGTCTAGGTTTAGACGGGGACCTGCGAATTGGCTGTGGGAAGCAACATGGCCTAGTGGTTACAGCACACAATGTCCGTTCGGATTCTCGGGTTCTAATCCCAGTTCTGCGGTTGACTCTCGGCATGAGTGAAATCACTTCCTCATTTCGTGCCTCAGTTTCCTTTTCCCTATCTTTTAAAATGGCGAATGTCCCACAAGCTGGGCCGTGAGGCCTAACTATATGTATATTGCTTTGGGAAGCCCTGGTTTAGCCTGGATAAATCAGTGAGATTGTTACTTACTTGTTTGAGGTACTTGCGTGGGCCTCGTTACAGTAGCATCTGAGCACTTCGCAGCCTGCCATGCGTGTCTCCTCTAGGCTGGGCTGTTCCCCTGCTCGTGTCACAGTTGGGGAACCAAAGCACAGGGCCAGCTGCTGAGTGACTTGTCCTGGGTGGCACCAGGAGTTGGTGGCAGAAAAGGGAACTAACCCGTGTTCCAGGCTGGTGTGTGGCCCATCGGGCCACCCGTCCCCATTCGAGGACCCAGTTGGTGTAGGGATGTGGATGGCTAA